ATCTAGACTTGCTTTATTTAGGGCTTTTATTATATATGATGCGACGTTTCGGTATGGATTCTTATACCGTTGTCAAGCAAGAGTGAAGTACTACAGCACAGAACAGACTTATATACATGAACAGGGATTAAGTAATAACAACATGTAGGTATGAATCAAGGGATTAACAACAACAACAAGGCACGGTGGTAATAATGTAGTGACAATAGGAGGAAACCAATGGTCCTAGAGGCAGAAACAAAATATACATGGCTGATGAGATTAATTAGCAATGATAGCTGGAGTGCTCTAATCTGTTGTTTTTATCAGTGCATTGTATGCAGAAGGGATGATATATCCCTGGTCCCTGTTGATTGAGGGCTTGTGTCTCCGGATTTTAACTGCTTCTGCAAGCTTTCTTTTGGTGAAGTCCTGGTGGTTTTTCGATAATATCTCTACATTGTCCCATATTATGCTGTGATTGGGACAGTTGATGATGTGGTCTGATAGTGCTGATTTTCTGTCAAATTTAGTGGTAGATGATAAGTGTTCTTTGATTCTGATATTTATGGGTCTATGTAGGCGAAACCTCGACTCAGAATCACTTTTCTTATAACAACAGATGCAGTTACCCGTAGAATAATAGGGGGATTAGTTATAGTCTATTTCAAGGTAAGTCTGGTGACTGCGTGACCACAAGCCTGAATAAATTGGTGAACACTAACAAATGTCACAGCCATGTATATATATATTAAATGAACCCCCAGTTCATCATCATGGCTAATTCTCAAGTTGACGTTCAGTACATTGATAATGCACAATGTGGACAAAATATGATTTATGGCAACTACAAGTGAAAATGAACATGTAAAAAGCTTCCAAAAAGACTGGTGATTCCAGATATGTTGATGACATATTATTGATGTTACTCATGCTGATGTTTCACTTGTATGTTTGAAAATTGTTATTACAAACTCATTACACTTCATGGTACATGTAAATCATCTAAAGCATCATTCTAGGACATCATCATCTTTGTACATCTTTATTGATGTATGACTCGATGACTATGAGATATAACAAGAACAGGATTCTCCATTGTCAACGATGTCTTCATGGACCCACGACATTCTAATGCAATTTTCCTTAAAAATTCCCACCTAATACCACTCTTATTTGTACCCTTCTTAGTGTACAAAATTCACTCTAATGCTACTCAAATTCCTCCCTTATTGCTCTTCAGTACTTTCATTTTGGAACACAGACAAAAACTGTCATTATCACAGACACATTTATACAATTTATCAACGCAGCCACTAGCCTCTGTTACGAAAACATGCTAGTCAACTTATCTTACTGGCTTCTGTCATGAAAACATGCTAATTGAAACTGGTGAAAAAGGTTAGCAATAACATATAAATATGGGAAGGGTCCTATGTTGGTCATTTTGGTGTTGAATTTTGTCCAAAGAAATTTTGTCCTATGGGATTTTGTCTGGGTGGGATTTTATCCAGTTGTGTTGCTGTTGAGTCTGCTTGTGATGCGGCTTCCCTGAAACAATCCCACTGAAACCTCGAAATAGCATCAGCTATAACATTATCATGAGTAGAAATGTACCTGGCTAGCTATTCTGGAAACGTTCGTAGCCCTACGAACACCTTAAGCCCATTCTTAACACATTGGCTACGATCAAAGTTAAGAAATTTTAGTATTACGAACGTTTCGAGAATAAGGGCCCTGGAACGTCAAAGAATATTATGATTAAGACATTAAGTTACTAGCAAACGCACAAGAAACATCACCTTGGAGTTCTTGGATGTGTGTCTGTTGATGATGGATACGACAGCTTGGTTGTCACACAAAGACATTACCTTGTTTTTAATAAAATTAGGTGCACACAAACGTAGTGCTGCGATGGCAGGAAGCACTTCAAGGAAAGTCATGTCTTTCATGTAGCCCGCTCTCACTCATGGCCATTTACCATACGCCCAACTTCCGTGGAAGTACTAGTATACCCCGGACCCGCACAAACTGTCAGCGTCTGTGAAAAGCTCTATGTGGGTTGACGTGATCCACTCTTCATTCTGAAACACAGATGTACCGTTATAGTTGAGGAGAAATATTTGCCAGACTTTAAGATCTTCTTTCACTCCCCTTGTAATCCTGACGCGATGCTACGGTTTTACCTGACCCTCTAATGCGTCGTACAGGCGCCTGCAGAAAGCTCTACCCGCTAGGATTGCACATGTAATGAACTGGAGTCTACCGACCAGTGATTGCACCTCTACTACCCGTATTTCCCTTCGACTGGACGTGAGGATTGCTTGTATCTGCTGGGTGACCTCTGTTATCTTCTCAGCCGGTATTGTCACCTCCATAGCTACAGTGTCGATAGTCAAGCCCAAAGATGTGATTGTAGTGGAGGGTCCGACAGTTTTGACATGTCCATAGAAAGTTTAAGTATTTCAAAACATGTGCTTGTAAAGGGATATCCCCCTAACAAGAAATCCCAAGGTAATGAATTAAGGAATGCGGGGAGCTTTTCTTTACGATGCACAATTCAAGACATGTGCTGAACTTTTCAAAAAATTCACAGGAAATTGAGCATCCAAATGCTTAACATTATCGAAGTAATATTTACCTTGAAAACTTATTCCTAGAAGATAAAAGTCGTTGGGGCGGACCGGAATCAATCTGAACGCAGATTTGACATCAAATGTGGCCAATTTGGCGCCTTTACCCAACTTTTGTACCATGTAACTGCTTCGTCGAATTTTGTGTAGGTCACCGAGGAAAACTCCTGGGGGATAAAATCGTTAATAGACCTACCTTCTGGGTAAGATAAGTGATGAATCAGCCTGTAGTGATCGTCCGTGGGCACCGATTCACTGCTAACCTTTTTGTCTAGTAAACCTATCGGTGATGCGATCAAATCCGGAAAGGAGGAGATTCAAACGGTCCACTCATACGTGTAAACATGAGCACGCGTTTTGCAAGGAGGAATTCAATGCTGTGAAGAAATGATACATAATTGTCAGTGGAATGAGAATAATTGTACACACACACACACACACACACACACACATACATACATACATACATACATCAGTATAAGATCAAGGCAAGATGTAGATGAGAGGTATATATATATATATATATATATATATATATATATGTATGTATGTATGTATGTATGTATGTATGTATGTATGTATGTATGTATGTATGTATGTATGTATGTATGTATGTATGTATGTATGTATGTATGTATGTATGTATGTATGTATGTATGTATGTATGTATGTATGTATGTATGTATGTATGTATGTATGTATGTATGTATGTATGTATGTATGTATATTATATTACCAAGGGCAAATTATATTGTTAATGGACAATAGTTCATAACCACGATAGACAGTTTTACTATTTTACTATTGTTTGTAGTTCGGGGACAATCAAACCTCGTATCGTAACAATCACACCCCCACGTGGTTTCATTCGGTTGAGTGAGACTTGTTAGCATCCAACGATTATTTGACACTTCTGCCGTCATACCATAATGAGACTAAAGTATATGTTAATGACCCCTGGTTAGGACTAGCTACGATCCCAAACATGTCAGACATTTTGCTTTGCCAACCGTTTCAGTCAAGGATAAGAAATTCGACTAAACTTGAAATTCCTGAACACCTGAGAGCTGTGAAGTCAATTCCTATGTCTCGACTCGTGGAACAATTATCTGCAATTGATACTGGGGAGGTGGAATTTGAAACTGGGAATTTGAAATTCATTTTGATAACTGTAATTATCATAAATGTTGTAATAGTAATATTAATGGTTATTGGTAGAAAAACAATTTGCCCTGGTTTGCCAGAAAACTGAGACTTGGAAAACACTCTCGGGTTACTCTGGACCAAGAGATAACACATGTCAGAGAGAGCGAGCAGCTTGCCTCTGCAACACTCATGTCTGGAGGAGGGCCTGAAGAGACAGAGGACCCGGTATCTCCTCAACGACCAGGCTACTGTACCCAAGCTTGGATGCTGCACAAACTAGACAGCAACCATGAGGTGTGATCAGCGAGGGAAACATTGGACAGGATGGGATGCGGTGTGTGAGCCTTCCCAGGTCTTTTCACCCTGATTACACAACGCAAGGTTGAACATTCCAATCATTAATGTGCTTTGATTATTCTTTCAAATAATCGGATTGAAAAGGGGCGAATGTAACATAATTATGTTTGCGCCGATCTAACAAGGACTCGTGTGCCGTGCCGCCCACTGGACACAGCTGATAACACTGGATATCTCTCAGGGTTGGAGGACAAACATCATGTTGTGTTGCTACGACAGACTGATCAACTCTTGAACCAAATTGTTGTGATCATCATGTGATTATAACGTTATATATCGGTCTCGGACCAACCAATAGTGTCCAGAGACATCATCCACTAGTTGGGACAAACAACGTGTTTACAATGAAGACAATACCAAAACTGTGTACCTCTCGGCCATAAGGTTGTGACCGGTTGCCTGAAAGTTGGCTATATAGATCCAAGGTGTTCGGTGGAGAGACAGACATTATCTTAGCGATTCCATGCGCGTTTAGAGCTTAATCGCTCTAACCTAATGATACTCAGTCATGAGTTTGATATGTCGTTGAACATAGTATAAATATACCTGTATCCTGTGTGGCTCATTAAAGAAGTTCATCCCCTGGAGAATCGAGCAGTTTTGTTTTCAACTGAGAACTAATGACTGATCACCGGTCACTCTGTTACATGAACGAGGGGCTTTCTTATGATAAGCGATTATTAACAGGTCGTTATAGCCGACTGGGGTTAAACTGCATTCAATCTGAATTGTTTGTGTGACACAAAACATGCCATCCGACAAGAAGATAGTCATTCAGTGGCACAGCTATATGTTATTTTCCCAGGTACCGCTAAGTCCATCGTTGATTTGTCTGTTTTCCAATAAGATCTCGTACAGTACATGTCCTTTCATCTGTTAATCCAGGCAGTGGCCTGCGTGTCAACACCATGGCTGAGTCTGGAGGATGTCGATGGTGTTTCAACAACATCCTCTGGTTTACTGCTGTCTACAGTATGTCGGCACTGTTGCTGGGGTCAGTCAAGCCCTACACAACGTCACAGATCACAGCACTAGAGAAACAGTTTGGACTCAGCAGTACAAGAAGTGGCCTCCTTCTGAGCTGCAACGAAATCGGTTGTCTTTCAGCTAGTTTCTTCTTCAGCCATTTTGGAGGAAGGGGTTGTATACCTAGGATCCTGTCCGGCGCAATGGTTTTGTATGGTATTGCTAGTTTAATGTGTGGTTTGTTACATTTCATGGATCCTGTATCGTTCCCTTCTTTAGATGCCTCCAACTATTCTTCTTCACAAGGTGCTAGATTGTGTCAGGATTCCGTACAGGAACATGAGAGATGCCCAGCCACGAAGGACCAAGCCACTGACAACGGACGTTGGATGTACAATGTGCAGGCCGTGCTTATGGTGTTACTAGGAGTGGGTAAATCCCCACAGTTTTCCCTGGGTCTACCGTACGTTGAGAATAATTCCAGCGACAAACAGCAGTCGAGTTTACTGACAGGTACGTTCTCAGGTCTTACATGATGTGAAGGGGAGAGTTTAGAAGATGAGAGTAAACATGATAAATATTTTGATTCATTATGAAATAGAGAAAATACATCGTTCGTTGTAAAGTGACAGTTTTTATGTATTTATCCATAAGAAACCTTTTGGTATCTGATTAGAAGACGTAGTGCATGTATAAAAAATGTGTTTGTAGATCGCGGGTTTCAAAAGGTATTGTATGCGAGTGTATTCGAAGTAGCGTGTGTAGTTAAAGTCGTGCTTGTAGTGGAACTCAAGACTTTTTATTCAGAAAAGCGGAAGCATTGTGAGTAGCGAAAGGAGAGTGTATTTGAAGTAGCGTGTGTAGTGGAAGTGTGTGTTGTCGAAGTATTGTGTGTAGTGGAAGTAGTGTGTGTGTGTGTAATGGAAGTAGTGTGTAGTGGAAGTAGTGTGTGTAGCGGAAGTAGTGTGTGTGCAATGGAAGTAGTGTGAGTAGTGGAAGTAGTGTGTGTAGCTGAACTAATGTGTATTGTAGAAGTAGTGTATCTAGCGGAAGTAGCGTGAGTAGTGGAAGTAGTGTGTGTAGTGGAAGAAGCGTGTGTAGTGGAAGCAGTGTCTCTAGAGGAAGTAGTGTGTATTTTGGAAGTAGTGTGTATTTTGGAAGTGGTATTGTAGTGGAAGTAGTGTGTATTTTGGAAGTAGTGTGTATTTTGGAAGTAGTGTGTATTTGGGAAGTAATGTGTACAGGGGAATTAGTATGTGTAGTGGAAGTAGTGTGTGTAGTGGAAGTAATGTGTGCAGGGGAAGTAGTATGTGTAGCGGAAGTAGTATGTGTAGTAAAAGTAGTGTGTGTAGTGGAAATAATGTGTGTAGCGGAAGTAATGTGTATTTTGGAAGTAGTATGTGTTGCGGAAGGAGCGTGTGTAGTGGAAGTAGTGTGTGTAAGGTGGAAGTAGTGTGTGTAGTGGAAGTGAGTGAGTCAGTGACTGAGTTTAGTTTTACGCCACACTCAGCAATATTACAGCTATATGGCAGGGGTCTGTAAATAATCGAGTCTGGACCAGACAATACAGTGATCAACAGCATGAGCATCGATCTGCGCAATTGGGAACCGATGACATGTGTCAAACAAGTCAGCGAGCCTGACCACCCGATCCCGTTAGTAGGCTCTTACGACATGCATGGGTTACTGAAGATCAATATTCTAAGCCGGACCTTGACGGGTCGTGTAGTGGAAGGAGAGAATATAGCAGAAATATTGTGTGTATGGGAAGGAGTGCAAAAAGCGATTGTGTGTAGCGGAAGGAGTTGGTATAGCGAAAGGATTGTGTGTGTAGCGGAAGGAGTGTGAAAAGCAAGAGGATTGTGTGTAGCAGAAGGATTGTGTATAGCAAAAGGATTGTGTGTAGCGGAATGAGCGCGCATAGCAAAAGGATTGTGTGTAGTGAAAAGAACCTGAAAAACAAAATGATTGTGTGTAGCGGAATGAGTGCGTATAGAGAAATGATTGTGTGTAGTGGAAAGAGACTAAAAAGCGAAAGGATTGTGTATAGTGGAAGGAGTGTGAAAAGCGAAAGGATTTTGTGTACCGAAAGGAGTGCAAAAAACGAAAGGATTGTAGTGGAAGGAATGCTTACAGCGAAAGGATTGTGCGTAGTGGAAGGAGTGTGAAAAGCGAAAGGATTGTGTGAAGCAGAAGGAGAGCACATAGCGGGAGGATTGTGTGTAGCGTAAGGATAGCGTGTAGTGGAAGTAGTTTACAGGTAATATAATTTGTTTGTATTCGTGGTCTTGTAGGCATCATTATGGCGATAGCTTTCCTTGGACCAGCTGTTGCACTCGGTCTTGGTGGATGGCTCAGTGACGTCCCCATTGATCTAAGCGGTTGGTTATGTGCTTGCATTAATTAGTGAATAGTAATTCCATTCAATCTTTCTTTACAAAAATGTTTTACAAGACTTTTTATTCAAATAAAGGTTTTGTATTCAGGGAATTCATTGGAATCAATGTTCTTTACGCCATACGAGCACAACACGTTTTTATGAAATTTATACCAGTTGTATGGTTTGGTTTCAAGAGTCCCAATTACACAGCCATCACCCCCAGTGGATAGGAGCATGGTGGATTGGGTACCTGATCCTTGGATGTGCAGCCATCGTTCTTGCTGTACCCTTAGGCTTCTTCCCAAGGCACATGAAGAAATCAACAGTTAAAGATATCCACACGGCCACGTCACTGATAAAGGATATAGTGGGTGAGTTGCTGCTGCACCTTCTTTCTGGGTGAAAGAAGTACCAGACGCCATGGTGTGGTACCTTGTAACATGCTTGTAATTACTCATTTACAATTTTCGCTCTGAGACTTACACTCTTCACAAAAAGAAACGGATAGGTGATTTTGAGAATATTGGACTCATGTTATTGCGGCAGAGTCAATACAAATATACTATTTCTTTCGCCAAAGCGTCATAAAAAAAACATGGAAAGCAAAATACACTTGCAAGTAATAGGAAAAGCATGCAGTGTTTTGGTCACTTATAGTAAACGTTGTGTTTCACTTTGTTATCCGTTTTTGCCTTGAAAAGCGGAAATAATCATGCCTTGTTTGAGTGCTGCCAATCGAGACATCGCCATTGGCCGCCTTGAAGCTGTGGAGTCGTAGTCTGACGCAGTTGACGATTTCTTCTTCACCAGCGAGATGGAAGACAGCGTGTCCACCGTCGGAGAAATGAACGTTTTGCCCCTAATCGCATTCGACAGGTCGACAGATTCGGTTGTGGAAGTGTCATGGTGTGGGGTGCGATATCCAGCACACACATATTTGATTTAGTGGTGGTTCAGGGAAATTTGACAGCAAATCGGTACATCAATGAAGTCCGTGTATGTCACATGCTTCCGATTATGAACCGACAGGGGGATTTGTTCCAGCATGACAATGCTACTTCACATACAGCAAGCGTCACTGTCCGCTACCGTGCCAATTCTAAAGTCAGTGTCTTGCTATGGCCTTCCCGATCACCAGATCTAAATAGAACACATATAGAACACATATAGGATGAACTCGATCGACGTGTACGTCAACGTCAAAACACGCCTCAGACACTTCCACAACTGGCCATCGCATTGCAGAAGGGTGGGGAGGAAAGAGAGACTTATCCAGTCCGTCCCGAGACGATGCCGAGCAGGAATTCCTGCCAATGATGGTCATACAAAGTACTGACTTTGACGCCATCTGGTGGACTCAAGTAAACAGAAACAGAACTATATTGGTGGCTGTTGTGTTGGCGAACTCTTTGTCAATAAATGTGTGAATTTTCACCATTGTAATTACATGAAATAATTGCTTTTAAACTAACGCAAGGAATTCTTCTGAAAATGGCTTATGCGTTTCTTTCTCTTTTTTGAAAGTGTTTTAAAGGGATGCTATAGGGTAAAAAATGGAAACATGTCTACGACACTAAGAGGATACTTTCCCAGCGCAAATTCCATGTGGTTATACATGGGACTTTTATTGCATGTTTGATCCCACACAAACAAATACCGCCATTTTCGGTATGTGATGTCTGTTTCCTATTATCTCTCCGTATCAATCGGTCTCTTGCTGCCATATCCGTTTATGGACCCATCACCCACAGAGATCCATTATGAAGTTGGTAGCTAAAATTTGTCTTGTTCTATTAACCGAATTATTTCCGTTGTTCCTGCAGACATGCCAAGGTCCATATTGCGGATATTGAAGAACCCAGTAGTCGCCTGTCTTCTCTTTGGGAACGCCAGTGCTTTGTTCTTTGTTGGAGGCTATTTCAGCTTTGCTCCAAAATACATCATGACCCAGTTTACAACGACGGCAGCTGAGGCGAACTTCATATTGAGTAAGGAGCGACAGTTTTGTTGACGTTATGTTTTAACGTGTGCATCAGTGAGTAGGACGCAAGTTAGTTACATTGAGACTGGCATGTCCTATCTCCAGATGAAAGTTGTGTATTGTCTCATATTATGCAAACATATCTCTCCAAGCTTTCTGTGAGTGAATCAAATGCGAGCCGTGTAAACTGATTCATACATGTAATCAGGAGATCTCACATGTTATTTTCGGTTTAAAATAGATGGATTCTTTATCTGTAAACCTGAAGGACACACATTTAAGGTATATGAACAGGGTTACATGATTGTTTAAAAGTGGAAACTAAATCACATTCACTTTTCATCTAAGTTCACATTTCCATACCTGAATGTGTTGAAGGTATTCTAGAGCTGATGTGGGCGTTAGTGGGCACCCTTCTTGGAGGCATAATCACTAGCAGATTCCAGCTTACCTGCATTGGATGCATGAAGCTCACGACCATACTGGTATTCATTGCAACTGTCCTCTGCTCTCTCACGCTGGTCTTTGGTTGCGACGAACAGAACATCAAAGGTCTAGGTGACAGCAGGTAAGAGGTAGTTATTACATATGGGGGAGGGTTAAGGTGACAGAGATGAGTGTCAGGGCTCACATAACCAAAACATATAGTTTCTTGGTGAAAAGCAGGTAGGTGCCAGTTGTTAGAATCAGAACATTGAGAGTTTGAAATTATTTATTTACTACGCACTGAAGGTCATCGACATTGTAAATTAAGATAGTCAGGTTCATATATTACATAAAAGAGCATCGGACATTTATGGCATGGAATATAAGTTATGAAAGTTTCTTCGTGGATTCTTCATGTTAAGCCTATTTAGTGTCATATTTTCTTTGGATGTCTGTGTGGTCACATGAACATGACGTGGTATTCCTTTTCGATGTAACTGTGTCACCAGGTTACAGAGAACCAGGTTACAGAGTCTTTGGTCTCCCTTTACATATTGATATCTGACCATTTCAGTTTGGAGCGTATGAGAACCACAACGGTAGCAGGAGAGTACATTACGAGATTTATCAATGTAAATATTTAGATGAAATTCGATTGAAAGAGGAAAAGATACACGTATTAGGATTCTTAACATTTTCTGAATGCCATTCTTGTTCATGATTATATTTGAATCTTGATACATACAGGTTCGGATACGAAATTGCTTGTTATTTCCCAATATAGCCAATACAAGTTATACGGTATCTTTGGTCTCTGGGATCCAGTTAATCTTGCAGTTTACAGCTTATTTAAACGAACGATCATAGTTCTTTCGTCTTTAACTACTATGAAGCAAAGATACTACCTTACACTAACAAGTAATATGATGGGTTGAATACAGCATACACTTAGATTTTCTGAATGTATGCTGAAATATATTCTGAATTTTGTTTTCAAGATCATGAAACTTATACATAAATACGTCTGCAGTAAATAATTCTGTTTCAGATATTCAATAATAAATGACACTGTTTGCAACTGTGATGCAACGGAGTACGTGCCACTGTGTGGAGTTGATGGAGTGACGTATATCAATCCCTGTATGGCTGGATGCAAGTCTCAGAACGGTACAGTAAGTATCTCACTCCCTGCAAGCATGGAGCCATGTATGTCAGGATGCCAGTCTCAGAACGGCACAGTACGTATCACACTTCCTGTGAGGTTCTCTGTATGTCAGGATGCCAGTCTCAGAATGGTATAGTAAGTATGTCACTCCCTGTGTGGGATGCCAGTATGAAAACTGCACTGTGGGTATCTCTTAGTAGAGCGACATGTCACCTTAGATATGCACCGAGAGGGACTAAAATTGGTATCTTATTCCATCAGTGTCATTGGATTATACACAATTAAATACAGATAATGCCCCGGTGTCTTTTAGTATATATTTTCATTTATAAGTATTTAATATCTGTGTTGTACGCTGGTCTTATTTCAGACATACATGGGGTGCAGCGAGATTCCTGGTAACGAAGGCACAGTGGGCAAATGCCAATTAGATTGTCCCTATCTGTATCCCTACGTCATCGTTGACCTAATGTCCGGCCTGGCGGCGACAATTTCCTTAGTCCCTGTCATGATGACACTAATGAGGTAGGTACTTTTAACACAAACACACACGCACATACGCACACACACACACCTGTTTACGAGACCGTTAATCAATGTTTACAAGAATACATATGACATCAGATAAATACAAACCGATTTAGTCCCAAGATAGTTAAGTAAATTAGTCCCCCCTCCCTACATTGTTTGACCGCCTCCGTGGTGTAGTGGTTAGAGCATCCGTCCGGAGAGCGGAAGGTCGCGGGTTCGATCCCCAACCGCGTCATACCAAAAGACGTTAAAATATGGTACTAGTTGGTTCCTGCCTGGCGCTCGGCATTAATGGGTACAACAAGGACTGGTCGGCTCGGAGTCAGTATAATGTGTCTGAGTGGGGTATTCATGCTTCACTGCGGCATGGTATCTCAGTGGGCTAGTACTATAAAACCAGCTTCAGTCTGGGCTAGTACAAGCAGCCGCACATACACATACACACGCATGCACGTCGTCACATGAGAGAAATATTCTCAAGCACGACGTTAAACCCAATTTCACCTCACCTCACCCTACATTGTTTCTTTTTATATTACAGGAATCATAATAGAAACTATTAAACTTTCTCTGATACTTTCGTCTTTATCCAGTTAGATACAGCTGCTGAGAATTACCATGACATGGTACCTCACTGTTCAGGGAGAAACACACAGAAGTGAATGTCATTGATTCTTCGTTATCCAGTGTACCCTGTCAGAAACACAATAACTCTCCAACCACTTAAACTGTTTCATCTCATGTTTGTTTAACGTTCTATCTAACAACAGTTGTTGCGTGTAACTGGATTTTATACTTTAAGCATTTTGAGCCCAAAGAATTTGTTTTCAAATAATATGGACACTTGAACAAGTAGAACAAAGTTTCCTTTCGGTGTAACTGTGTGCAAAATGTATGATTCACATGATGTACAAGCGATATGTGCGATCGTATGTTCTTTCAAAAAACGTCTTAATGTCATATAACTCAAATTATATCGTAAGTTATGTAACACATCAATTGAGAGACTAAAACCACTCAATGTGTCTTTTATAATCAAAAAGTTGTCAGTGACAACTGGATACTGTTAACTGCTGGGATTTCTTTCTACATCTACTTCCGATTGACTGCTGAGCATGCAAATGATGCAAGTTCAGAACTGAAGTCTTGTACGTCAATTTTGGATCTGAGGCATGGTACTTCAATTTCATATCGGATGTTTGGTTCTTTCTAGTTCAGAACAGAAGTATATTATTTCAGTCCAGACTGAAGTATGGTACTTCAATTTCATTATGATATTTCAGGTGCATTTTCACAAAGACCTTCTTTTTCATTTTCGGAACTGAAGTAAGGGACTTCAATTTCAGAAATGAAGTATGGTACTTCAATCCAGTACGTCAATTTGGGAACTGTACGCTACATCAATTTCGAAACTGAAGTAAGGTACTTCAATTTCGGAACTAAAGTATGGTACCTCAATTTCAGAACTGAAGTATGGTACTTTTATCAAGTACGTCAATTTCGGAACTAAAGTATGGTACCTCAATTTCGGAAATGAAGTATAATACTTTAATCCAGTACATCAATTTAGGAACTGAAGTATGGTACCTCAATTTCGGAACTGAAGTATGGTACCTCAACTTCAGAAATGAAGTAGGGTCCGTCAATTTCGAAACTTTATAAGGTACGTTAATTTCTGAACTGAAGTATGGTACTTCAATTTCACAAAGACCTTCTTCAGAACCTCATTTACACATCCAATATAGGACGCCATCAGCTCCCGCAAATTCTATCCTCAAGAATATACCCAACAATTCTGTCAAGAATATATAAACTCGAGGGCTCTATTTTGTTCTGACAATGGAGAATTCTTGGCTTTCCAAACTCCATGCAGAAAACATGCCTTTGAACTGTCTTACAGATTTGGGCAGAGAGACTAAAGGGTAGTACAATGAGGATGAACAAGTGTTGGCCTCCTCTACATGGATTTGCAGACTCTTCTGGTGCATTTGTTCTGCTATCCATTCCCATTAGATCTCCATTGCAGCTGTTTGTTCAACAGGACGCAACATCAAGCACATCGAGTGGTATACTTTTACAGGACAGTCTCGAAAACATATAACCCAGTAGTGTTTAACGACATTCAAAGACGAAGGTTTGTTTGAATTCTTGAACTTAATGAGTGAGTATACTTGGCCTTTGTTGAATGGACCTGGGAATTTGAGTCAACATTGCTACACTGGACCAATAGAAGACATGATCAGAAGCTTGTTCTGACTTCCTGTCACCAGACACAAAAGCAGCTTATCCACGCTCAACAGCTAAGATTGTATTCCAAGGTTCCAATCGCAGCAAAGTTTCTAATAACCTAATGCTTAACTGCAAATTCCTTCATGTGTTTCAACAAAGCTGCAGCATATATCAAATTTTGACTACCCCAGTGAATGCAAGCTAGTGGAAATTTCATAGGCAATGGAAATGTGTTTCTGCCATATATATTACGATATTTTGTCGACACATTCGGGAAGGAATCGTTTCCCTTATGTCCTTTTTAGTTAACTATATATTTGATAATCTAATTACTTTGACCGATAATTTGATTATTTGATTCCTATAAAGAACAGTGCACCCGAGGGACAAATCCATGGCTGTGGCTATATCGTCTTTCCTAAGTAGTTTTGTCGGTGAGTAAAAGAAAGGTATAAGGGGGCTGCTCGTGTTTGCTTGTATTTGACTACCACGGAGGTAGATCTTACTCTATCAACCCCACGATGAAAGCAGGTGGAAGAGAATTAAATCCTCGGAATACCCTTACGTACTCTTAATGACAGTTCATACACATGAATTTATACAATACCACTCCAAGCTGTAACAAATGCTTCTACTTAAGCATGCTTTTTTGTATTGTAAGTATTTTGTGTCATGTATGTTCCATTTAAACATATAAGAAATGAAAATCCAAATATATGCTTCATCTTGGACAGACTGTAAATCAAATTGACTCATTATATGTACGCAAATGTAGCAACTTTAAAGGTTAAGTGGAATGTAAGTTGGAATGTATATAAAGTAGAGAGTGTATATTATGGGGCCACTTATGATGAATTATTCTGTTCCCCAGGTTATCTTCCAGCACCTATCGTTTATGGAAAGGCCATTGACACCACGTGCATCCTCTGGGAAACAAGGTGTGATGAGGTCGGCGCATGCGCAGTATATGATCTCCCAAGCCTACGATATTGTGTGAAAGGGATGGACACAGGATTTCAAGTTCTATCGTCAGCTGGCTTCTTTGCAGCTTTCCTTTTACTAAAAAATGGGGCCGTTGATGAGTATTCCGATTCAGATGCACCACAAATCCAACCTGAAAAAGCAGGATATACTGAAATGTGATGTTCAGCTTACACAGTTTTAAAACTCCTTCCAGACGGAAACGAAACTGTGTTCGTTTGGGGCGTTTATGGAATGAATATGTTGATTACTCCAATAACTAAAAAATGGACCAAATACAAAGACAACAGTATTCCTGTATAGTGCATAGATATAACACTCTTCAGCTACATAGGTTAAAACATCAAGTCACTCTTTAAGGAAATTCTTAAAGGAGAGAATATACGTAGTAGTATAATATAAAATGTCAACGTGTTTCTATCTTGTTAAAGCACAGTTCCCATTATTGGGTTCAAGGGGTCATCATCATATGCCTGTCCAGCGCGGAATAATTGTCTATTCTGGTATTTTCTGTCAAAAAATAAGTTGTAGGACTAACTTCAATTTTACTTGACTACAGACAGACACGCCTTTTTTCTACCCATTGGGAAATGTAGTCCTCTCTAAATTTAGTACACAGGGGTACAACTTCTTTGAGTGGCATGTTTAGAAGTTGGTGAATCAGACAAACTTTATGGATGAACAACTTCTTTATTCGGATGATGCGACGTACAGATTCTTGTATCGTTGTCAAGCAAGTATGAGTCAGGTAAAAAAAGGGTGTGCTACAGGGAATGTGTGAAACCAGGGATTTCACGTAATCCCTGAAAGATTCAGTGATTTCGCGAAATCAGTGTGACCCCCGGGGATTTCATGTATTCCCTAAAATTTTCAGGGATTTCATAAAATTACTGATTTTCATGGTGTTCCATTACACACATTCCCTGTTAGGATATAAGTGAATGTGTGAAATTAATGTTTGTAGCTTAAAACTTTACTGTTGAGTTTCATTTCATTCATTTTTTGTTCCCCAATTTCACTCTTCTTGAGATTATAAGTGAGTTTTAATCTAGACATGTGTGTTTTCCTATTCTTTAGAAGCTATAATTTGTTTTTATTCAAAAGCCTAAATTCATTCACAAGTTTTACATTGATGTAACAAATGTCCAAACCGTTACCACAGCATGGAAAAAAATATGTCATATTTGTTACAAGCTACAATTTCTAATACACATTTCACTGTCTGTCCAAAATAGGGTTAGCAGTTAAAGTAAATTAATATCATTTTTCCTTTCATGTTACCTATTTCTAGGTTAAATTACATTGTTTAAGATTTATGTCCTGCCCGTTACCATTCCTGTCCAAACCATTACCACCATTGTCCTAACCGTTACTGGTGTTAATTAACGGCTCTAAATAATTCATGATAATACATGAAACACTCCTCTTTATGTTGGTGTCATCAAAAGGTGTTCTGGGCGTAATAGCTGGTGTTTATTTTAGACAATTTCACCTGTTGAAAGCTTAGTATATACCTAATAATGTTTTAGAAAGATGCTATTATTTTGTGGTAAATAAATGAAAGATACAAAATAACACTTTCAAGATTCATGATAATAGCTTTTACCTTCAAGTTTGATTAAGTCAGTGTAAAAGCTGTGTCTGCCATCTTTAAAAGATTTTTATGAAATATATTTCAAAATCTTCATTCTGAATGAGAAATGGTAACGGTCAGGACGTTCCCCCCACCCTATCAAGTAAAAGGTCAATAAGTACATTTGAGCATGCATGTTTGTATTTTTTTAATAATTAAGTGTTTGAGATTCTATTTGAATAACAATTAAATCAGTCTTGGGGAGTTTGATTTTACTGTAATAAAGAATTGAAAATCCTGCCAATTTTGAAATTACCCATATATATAGTTTTTGCAAGAAGAAAAAATATCTGGTCTTGTCTTATATATATCTTTTTATCTGCATAAGATATTTCGCCGTTCACCGGATCTACAGGTGTACAATGGAAACTAAGTGTCGTCATAGGCGACGCATAATGGTAAGATATATTGATTACCGTCATGCGTCGCCTATGACGACACTTAGTTCATATCTTTTATATACCTATTGCCTATACACCTGCAAAAATCACATATATATATACATTTGTATATGCACGCAATAAATAATTAACAAGAACAACAAGAAGCTAATTGGGGTGTACAGTAACAACGTGACAACAAGGGATTACAATGAACAAAATCCAACAGGCTGGCCTTCAAACAACTCAAGCAAGACCCAGATATCGTCATTGTTCCAGCGGAGAAGGGTAGGGCCACTGTTGTGTTAGACCAGCCCCACTTCCACTCCATGGTGGACAACGTGCTGCAGGATTCAACTACCTACAAGAAGATCAAGAAGGACCCAACCACAAAACTAACTATGAACTATCTGTGGACTATCTTTTCCCATTTCCGTATCCATACGCACTTCGATGACTTATGGACAAATGAACATGGTGAAATTATGTTGATACTTTATAAATTGATGACAAAAGAGCTTTGGTCAGATGTAGCATAAAAACAACTCGTTCCCATTACTTATCTGCATTAGGTCCCTGGTGAAATATATCGTCCTGCAACTCACTAAAGAAACCTGATTAGAAATGGGAACGAGTTTAATACTAGCCTTTATCACAGTATTTCAAATAGGATTGGATAGAAGTGAACGACAGGTTCCCCTGTTTTTCATTGCGAGATTAACCATATGTAGTGTGCCATGCCAACATGTCAATAACAGGTCGAAAAATACCACCAACTAGGATCAGATTTTGTTTTTCTTGATTAATCAGTGCTACAGTTTGTATGTATTAGAAGCAATATCGCCCTTTTGCAAGTACAAACAGCACCAAATATATATAAACAAGAGTCATATATCTACAGCCAAGAACACATGTATATGGGTTGTATTTCTGGGCGAGGTAAGTATTTAGTGAAAGATACAACGTTCCTACAAACAAGGAACGTTACTCCAAACCAATGGCAATGGGTTTTGACTATTCCAAACGATTTCTTATAGACTTTTATAGTGACGCTACATATTATTTATTTTAATTCACTAAGCCCTCAGCAGCTGGTAACATGTACCGGTATGCACAGTGATCAGCTTACCAAGTTCTTTTTCCGAGTACAGGAAGCTCGTCACTCGCTTGGAATATTCCGTGGAGACATTCAGCATACGTCATCATTTTGAAAACGATAGCACTAAATGTTGAAAAAATGGTCAATTTCAATTACTGGATGCGTGTAAAACACAATGTTACACTTAATCATCCAATCATCTGTAATGAAAACTCTCTTAGAAAACTGCTCGTTAAATGTTCTTTTTTTTACTTTGGTGTAGTAGATTGTAGTGATTTATACATGTACAGCACACGCGTACACACACAAGTATATACTGATTAGATGCACTGACTATGCTACAAGTGTTAAATGATGTATATTTCATTATGTTTTTTTGCATTAATAAAGGTTTTAAGGACACGTTATTTTACACATACTATGGAAATCAATTCATAATTTTTATAAAAGACGAGGGTGATGGATCAATTTCATGCATGTTTGAGGCAGCCAAGATCATACCAAACAAACGTATGATTTCAACGATGAAAACATGAACAATTCATTAACCTTTAAAACCAGTAAAGATACATATTTCAGATTCATTAATGGTCTGCTGTTTGCCTTTGCCTGACATCATGAAATCCAAGCAGAGTAAGCTACATTCATGGAATATCGTTTTGACACTTATGACATGGTGTGATGGAGACTGTTTCAGGTTTGTTTGTATAATCAAACACTCAAATCAATCTCAGTGTTTGGTAAATCATCGTGGGAAGGCTGACACAAATGTCTCTGAATTCCAAAAGTAAATAGTTTTATCAACCTTGATATAAGCAACTGACAGTCCACATGGAGAGGAATCAACGTTGGACTGAAAGCATGCAATTCAGAAAAAGGCCAGAAAAATGGGTGTGGTCACATGTAGCAGCTAATGTGACATATGTAGGTCTGGATAATGAATTTTACCTAAAATTATAAAGTAAATGGTTGGAATATGGCCAGCAGTCTGAATAACCGACTCATGAACCATACCACCTGTTCAAGTCGAAGAAGGGGCGGTGGAGTAGCCTAGTGGTTAAAACGTTCGTTCGTCACGCTGAAAACCCGGATTCGATTCCCCACATGGGTACAATGTGTGAAGCCAATTTCTGGTGTCCCCCGCCGTGATAGTGCTGGAATATTGCTTTAAGCGGCGTAAAACTAAACTCACTCACTCAAGTCGAGAAAGGGAAATGACCCCTGAGGCAGATGAAAGATCTTGAGACTACCCCCTTCTAAGGAAATTACACTTCACAGTCTATAATCAAGCTAAGGCTTTGAAATACTCCTTTATAAAAAGTACTGACAGTTTGATGTTTTTAGGTGGATAAACTAGCCGATGTCACGCATGTGGTTGTTTAAAGCCAGAACAACCAGCCAATATTCTACGATTGAAATAGCTTGGTACAGCTAAGTTGATTTTTAAAGCTTTCGGACTTACATACATGTACGTGTACCCTCTCAGGAGGACAATATTTTTACAATTCTTTAACCCCATTCGAGGTCAAAACCATTTATTCTACCGTTTATAAAATATCATTTATCTATTCACAAAACATATTAATCAAAATTTAACAAACAATTCTATCACTTTTAAAAACTTAAATATGTGATAATTAATGACAATTAACATTAGTAAAAAGGTCCTTAACTGTTTTGACATTGAAATATTTATTCCTTGTGTTAAAGGCAAAAAGTATAAATTTCAATAATTTGACAAATATATTGTTTGTCCTTACCATAAGCTATATATATATATATATATATATATATATATATATATATATATATATATATATATATATGTATATTCATATATATATGTAATTAGCAGTGTTTTTGAACATACCGGCTAAAAAGGTGTTTCTCTGCAATGATTCATGGGTTTATATAGTAGCATTATGTAGACATTAAAACACAATTGTTACACAAAATACTCCCATGACACCGGCACCGAAGGCTACTTGCCTTCTGACATTGTTACATAACTGGAAACGATGAGCCTTATCATGGACCGTGACAGTATTTGCACTCAAATTTATCTCTCCAATGTTTTTGTTTGCGAAACCTATGAACTGATATATTAAGGGTATTTCGAGATTTTCAGAAAGGTTACGTTTGTCAGTACTGTCGTCGGAGTTTTCTCTTGGCTTCCTTGCATTGCAAGTAGAATTCTCTGTCTAATAGCTTGGTTTAATGACCATGTGGACCACCAGGTGTGATCTGCAACAACGAAATACAGCAAATAAATACATTTTTACATAATCCCTTTGATACATACACAACTTCAGAATATTGCATTATTATATCCGACAAATATCTCCTCTGAAACCTGATTCCCCGTTTTCCCCTGATGGATTCTCCTATGTGGGAACAATGCTCTTGAAATTGTAAATATATAATACAATGCATGCCACTTATGCCCTAAACTATATGAGGAGAAAGTATAATAAGATTAATGTAATGACTAACCACTTCAATATGCCTAAATAGCAACTGACAAGAAACTATTGTGAAAACACAGATTATTGTGTATAATGTAGTTATTTAAAGACTGAAATCTCTCAAATAGGAAACATTGCAATTACAAACACTACCTAACCATATAGCAAACAACCAACATAATACTCCATCTTCGACACATAATGGAAGCTTCTAAAGCGTGAATGTCAAGATATTTGGAAATTGAAATGCATTTCTCAATAATTTGCTATCATTAATGACATATTACTCATTAAAAGATATTACAAACATTCTCTTGCGTAAAGTTAAAGTCCTCCTCCAGAAACGTGTTGGGCAAAAAACATACTCTGCACTTCCCTCTCTATTGACATGTACTTTATTGACTGGAGGCACAAACGCTCAAACCTTATAATCAGGCTGACTTTTCTCTCAGGTGAAATTCCTCTCTCTCTATACACTTGGTATATTTAAAATAACTTTCAGACAATGATACTAAGTCTCTGTGTATTTAGGCAATTCCAAATGACCAGTGAACATAGCTGTAGCAAATTAGGAGCATGTGACTCTGTGGCTAATCCAAAGTAATTGTCCCGCTTTAATGCAGAAATCGAGTATTCTATAAATCTCTTATTTAAACACATTCTGTGTTTTTACTGATCAAAAAACGTTAATAAACTGATACACATTTAATTCAAAATAATTCTACAGGTAGTTGAGCACACTTGTACTAGTTCAGTGCATAATTCCAAACTGCAGAATCGGAAATTCCATTCCATTTTAGTAGCACACAGAAGGTTTTTTCTACACGTGTGTTACTATTCTAAGAAGGGAATGCCCGACACGTCAGGTAAGGTGATTCAAAATGACGCCGCTGACATGCGAGTGATCGACTGTGAAGTTTGATGTCTTGCAAATATTAACCTCTGGATATTTTGATAACGAAAATAGGGCGCACTTGTAGGTATAAGTACAAAGAAGTCATTCATATAGGTTTTTCGTGCGCAATAGTCGCAACGGGTGCTCGAAAGTGCAACAAAGGATTTCTTCCTTTGCGGCCTATAGGGGTGCTTCATAGCGTTCGTGTGTGTGAGCGCTATGTATCTTAGCTAAGACATGGGTAGCCATGACAAAGGCCTTTAATATGAAATGTCATATACTGAATAGACGGATGCAGAGGGGGTGGGGGTGATCGTCGCAAGGGAAGTCTATCCTCCAGATGCACTAGGCTGTTTTGTTTGGGCGTTTGAATCAAACATGATGCTAGTGTATTTCAGCACCCGTGTATTTCGCTGATTTTGACAATGTTTCATTTCACTCAAACTCAACGTATATTGAATCAGTTGCTTCACTGCATGTTCCAACATGTCGTTTCAAGTACCCATTAAACACACAGAAAGTTGCATTTACCTTAGAGTATAAATGACCTCACCACGTTAAAGTTTATATATGACTATCAAATTTTAGGGTGTTCCCATACTTTTTGTTTGTAGTACATATTCTTCGATTGTATTCAGTATTGAGTGTGTGCTCACAGCACTAGATAAATGAATGCGTGTTTCGTGATAGCAGCCCTACCCTTGACATATCAGCGTTGAGGTCCGCAAGAACAAGAGTATCACCTCGTGCACAGAGAGCCGATATCAAGCTGTTAGTTAAACAAAAGTCAACACATATAACATACCTATGACTTGCTCCAGAGAAAACATTGGGTACTATTCCACCATTGTATAAAATAAATAAAATCAAGTTTTAGAATTGTAAAGGCATTATTTTGATGCGAGTTATGAGCAAGTGATATGTCTGTATAGGATGGAAGACTGTCGTAACGGGTTGGAGATATAACTGACCTACTTTGTGAGGTGTTTAACTGTGCAGCTGGTATAACACAAGGGAATGCCCCCAGTTCACTGTATGCTGGGTAACAAATTACGTAATGAATTGGTTGTGAAAGTGTGATTGTTTTGGCAGATGGTATTATGCTGTTCTCAGACAAAGTAAATATTTGATAAAACTGAAATTGTTCTTTTTAGAACATTTAATTTTGGTCCCGTGAACAAAACAAATGTATTAGAACAGTTTATATGTCGACGACATATACAGCTAAAAACACAATCAATTCATATCGTTCATTTATATGTGTAAGCCAAGCCCCCGCTTAGGTTAACCTCGTTAAAATTTGTCATTTGTCACTATGATAAAGAAAACACCAATTTAACTGTGCCATCTCAATTCGTTAAATGTCATGAACCTATAATGAACAATACCAGCTGAAACTGTATATACCTTTGCATGTGGGAAGTTGCTTTTGATACAATAAAACGAATTAGAATTGGGGATCGTACGTCACCACGATGTACGTCAGTACTCCTTGGTAAGGTGAGGAGGAATCTTTACCGCATACAAGTACATATCTAGTCCATGGTGTCCATCTCCAGCTGCTTGTCATATCGGATATGTGCCCATTAACATGCCTGTATGACATAGCACACAGATGGTTGACAGTGTACTATATAGTGTGTATATAGATAACCTGCACTATACAGTTTTTCTCGACCGACCAGCAGTTCTAGTTTATCACCTAAAGAACACGGGAGGTGACGAGCTAACTATTTACATTTTTCTCGCTCAACGCATGACGCGTATTATCAGGAAGGTCGTCACAAATGTGACATTGAATTACAATATAAAACATCCACTGACATTAGATGTGTATGGATCCACTGAAGAAGAAGTAGTGTGTGCAACTTCCCAGACAGGCGAACGGTAAGCACTGGGATGTGAATTTTGTACTTGATACACCGCCATGATGTCAGAGTTGGACATTTCGTGTCTCCAGCTGGATAGTTTATAATTTAGTTTGGTAATTTAGGTTCGTCTTTTTGCAACAAAAATTATGCTTTTACAAAGAATGGGCTTCTGGGATTGTTGCCTGCTCTAACGCCGGACCCTGCGTCGTTTCAACTGATGGTAGGAGGCTTCATACACTCATCAGTTGTTTCTCGATCAGTTCCCTATTGATGTGTTTTCAACACAACTTTCACAAACACACGCAGTTAACACTAACTGTCATTACATCGACATACATTTGATTTTGTATTACAGTAAACATGTCCATTTTCTTTAATCATTACCTTCAGCAAGCCGGAAACTTTCGCTGCTCTGGCTGATAAAGTTTCCCAGTGAATTGTTAATCGGTTTTTGCTTTAATATTCACACCCATTTAATACCAACAATAAGTTTACAATTATTACAAAGAGATCATTTTCAATCTTCGTTCGTCGGACTATCTTACATATATCACTGATATGTCCGGGGCGGTGGGGTAGCCCAATGGTTAAAGCGTCCGCTCGTCACGCTGAGGATATGGGGTTCGATTCCATCGATAATCGATTCTGCAGGTGCTGGCGGAGGATATGGGATTCGAGGTCTACCACTATGTTGATGGTAATCGGTACTGTTTTGACGTAATAAAGATGTTGCAAACGGAAGATCGTTCTGAATGGAGCTGGGTATGCATTGTCAACAACCTGAGCACTCTGGACAGCATTCTTTCCTCATAATCATCATGACTGTCATATCGATGTCATGGTTGTCAGCTTGACATGTTGGGTCAGCTTGACATGTGGGGTCAGCTTGACCTGTGGGTCAGCTTGACATGTGGGGTCAGCTTGACATGTGGGGTCATGTGTAAACCATAGATACCCCGCATGTTGCTGTTTACAGGAACCACTGACAACTTCCCTTCCGCGGCGTTGCGTATCTGCGAATCTCTTAGTTTGTACCTCATTTAGAACATATGGCGTTTCGTTTGCTGATCTTTCGCGTCTTACAACAAACCATGTTCAGCACAAATTCTAAGAAACAAGCTTGCGTTTTTATAACTCCCGTTAGTTGCGAACTTTAGATACAAACCTAAAACCATGAAAACATAATCAGACTGAGACAAACTGAGATCAGCACAAATAGATAAGTCCACTTAATACGGGTAACGGATGTGTTAATAATGACCAGCATGCTTGAAAAAAAAAGACTATTGCAGATCACCAATGTGGAACAAAGAGATCAGCATATTTACCCTTCATTCACTTGATCGGTCAATTTATTTGTATTACATAAATGCACAATTAACACTGCTAATCGCGTTGATATGTTGCGTTCTGTTTAGAGGAAACATTACTTTGCAGTGCTTAAGACATCTCCTTTACCCTGTTAGATAAGAGATGAAGAAGAACGGCACGAGTGTCAACGTCATGGCTGAATCTGGAGGAAATGGATGTTTCAACAACATCCTCTGGTTCACTGCTGTGTTTAGTGTGACGTCACTGCTGCTGGAGTCAGTCAAGTCTTACACCGTGTCTCAGATCACAGCCCTGGAAAAGCAGTTTGGGCTCAGCAGTACAAGAAGTGGCCTCCTCCTAAGCTGCAACGAAATCGGTTATCTTTCAGCTATTTTCTTCTTCAGCCATTTTGGGGGGAAGCGCTTTATACCTAGGATCCTGTCCTGCGCAGTGGCCGTGTATGGCATTTCTAGTCTAATGTCAGGTCTGTTACACTTCATGAATCCTGTATCGCTGCCTGGTGAAGAGGACGTATTCTCCAATTATTCCTCTCAACAAAGTGCCAGGCTGTGCCAGGATTCCGTTCATGAACATGAGAGATGTTCAGCCACGAAGGACCAAGCGACTGACAACGGACGTTGGGTGTACAATGTGCTTGCCGTGCTTATGGTGCTACAAGGAGTGGGTAAATCCCCACGGTTTTCCCTGGGTTTACCGTACGTTGACAATAATTCCCGTGACAAACAGCAGTCAAGCTTACTAACAGGTAAGTTATGAAGTCTTACATTGGCTGAGAAGAAGCTAAGGAACTAGGAGAGAACACGATGAAACCTTTGTTTCATGATGTAAACCAGAAGTTTATGGTTTGTTATAAAGACATTCGGATTGTTCAAAGAAAACGGCGTTATGCCATAATGTAAACCTTCGTTGTTCGATATGTCATAACAAGGAACAGGAGTCCCATTTTCAGCCGAGATCTTGATATTTTAGACAAAGATATTATTTAAGTGTAATTTGTATAAACCACTCGAGCTATATAATAATGCATATCATAGTTTGCTATCAGACCAAATCGAATTCAGTGAATTGGCAAACTTGAGATTCGTGCAACTGAAACAAGATGTGTGCACCTTCAACAACTAACGAAGGAACAAACAGTATTTTGCCGGCGGATATGCAGATAAATATACATGAGTGATCATATACAAAATATGATATCTGACAATTACTGACAATCAGATACACTGTATATCGATAGCAGTAAGTAAACGTATTTTGTAGAATATTTATCCATTTTTCTGTTGTAAACGTTACACATCAAACATGCAACTATAGTCCTAAAGAAATGCACACCACTATTGTTTTGATATTGGAAAACAATTATATATCTGGAATAACAACAGAGAGAAAGTAAAAACATTGTGGATAATGGTTCTCGGATGAACCAAGCTTCTTTTCACCAAGTTAAGGTTACAGGGTTAAGGTCACCTACAGCCACTGTTGTATAGGTATGCAGACAATCCATAGATCAACAGCATGAGTATCAATCTACGCAATTGGGATACGATGACATGTGGCAACCAAGTCAGTGAGTCTGACCACCCGATCCCATTAGTCACCTCTTACGGCAAGCATGGGTGCTGAAGATTAATTCTAGGGATCTTCAAGGGTCCGAAGACTATATAATCCCCGTACAGGCAATGATGGCCCGTTTGGCTTGCAGTGCTAATACCTGCTGTGGGAGAGGCTGTGGATGTCGTAGTCGCTGTCGTAACCATATATCTATCTCCTAACAAATGTTCTGTTGTCAAATGTGGCGATCTAGAGGGCCAAACTATATTGTTGTATAGGTATGCAGCCATTTACTCTGCTCCTGTGCTGTGCTGTGCTGCTCCAAGCTTGAACGACATTTCACATTTCATCCCTTTCGCGTTTCCATTCTTGGGGAGTAACCGAAGTTGTAATTGTAGACAAAACAGAGCTAGTAGAAGAAATAGCGCTTATAGAGGAAGTAGATCTTGCAGATGCAGATGCATGGAAGTAGTACGTGAAAAGAAATTGGTGCAGTAGAGGAAAGAGGGAATGGAAATTACATGTGTAGACAACGCTTGCGTGCTATGGAAGTAGTGCATTTTGAGGAACTTTTGAGTGTAGAGGAAGGGGGGGCTGTATAAGAAGTTGGGCATGCAGACAAAGTTGTACTATAGAGGAAGTTATGCGTTTACAAGACTCTGTGCGTTTTAAAGTAGGTGTATCTGTAGGAACTGGTTCATCCAATATACTGATTGCATTGTTTTTGCATCCATGGTCTTGCAGGTATCATTATGACTATGGCGTTCCTTGGACCAGCTGTTGCACTCGGTCTTGGTGGATGGTTCAGCAATTTTCCTCTTAATCTTAACGGTGGGTTTTGTGCTGATAGTAATAATGAGCAGAACAGTTACTCAAAACAACTCCACCTGCCTTCACAAGAACGTCTTACAAGAAATAATACACTCTACACACAAATTCGCAGAAAACAATAATGCATCAAATACAAATGCGCATGCAGCATTTTTTTAAAGTGAACAATTATTAAGATTTCCGTTTCAACTACATTTGAAAAATAGGTAACGTAGTCTCGAAAATCATGGTTCACAAACACGGAGATTTCAATAAAAAATATATAGCAATACACAACCAAATTAAAAACTTTAAATGAAGCCCACGATAAAATCGTGTGCATTATATTACAAAAAAAATGTGAAACATACTGCTATCATCCAGAATGCAATGCAGACAATGAAATCATATAAAAGTCAAGCATGGCGTTCCATGACCCCAAAAGTTGATGTCAATAACTAGTGTGACGATCCAGTACTCGTGCAACGGATTGTCCAGAATTAAGCCTTCAGCATTAAACTGCTGATCTGTGAGTCGTGGCATACTTGCTTTGTTATCAAACGTGTAAGTTTGATGCGTTGCCATGTTAACATTGTCTGTGTGCCTGCATTCCAATGCAAGTGCGAACGCTGAGGTTATCAGGTGACACACTGTACGTGATTGGTGTTTTTCATGCTTTTGTTATGTGTTATGATTAAATGTATCGCGTCGGTGGTAAAGACCACCTGCAAAGAGCCTATTCATGTCAATACTCTCTCTCTCTCTCTCACACAGACACACACACACACACACACAGACAGACACACACACACACACAGACACACACACACACACACGCACACATTTCCATATTTACTGGGTATAGCATGTTTGTATTTCAAGACACACAGTTAGATAAAAGTAGTCCGCAGTGGATCGGTGCATGGTGGATCGGGTATCTGGTGCTTGGAAGTGCAGCTCTCTCTTCCTTGCTGTACCATTAGGCTGCTTTCCAAGGCACATAAAGAAGCCGACAGTCAAAGACACGACCAAGTCACTGAAAGATGATGTAGTCGGTAAGTGTACATTTCCTGGGATACGAGTCGTTCTAGACATCACGGTATGTAATATGCTTGTAATTACTCATCCACATCAATTTACTTGCTTGTGTATACAGGGGTGATATGTGTTGATAAAATGGAAATGACGCGAAAACAGAACTGAAGGACACATTGGTTATGTGGCATATCTTTTCCCAGTATAAACTCCTTATGATGCATGGGTGTTTCAAGCCTTTTAGTTCCATTCAATCATCCTACAACTTCAAATACTGGCACATGATTACATGTTGTAATAATGCCGCTCACCTATGTTCTTTCCACACCAGTCAGTCACTTACTGATTGCATTTGAACGCCATCCAATTTCTCATGCTCCAATTATTATACTAATGTCTTATTTGTTTTGCACCCGCAGACATGCCAAGGGCGGTATTACGAATATTAAAAAATCCAGTAGTCGACTGTCTCCTCTTTGGAAGCGCCAGTGGCTTGTTCTTTGTTGGTGGTTATTTAAGCTTTGCTCCAAAATACATCGCGAACCAATTTGCTACGACAGCAGCTGAGGCGAACTTCATACTGAGTAAGTAGCGATCTCTACATTCAAACGACGTATACGTTTTGTAGTCAGATATATAGGGTGCGGGACAGTGTAGTGAAGCAACAGAGATTACCCTACCTCTCGATGATAATCGCACATCATCCCAGATTGTGAGTGACTCTTATCTGTAAGCTCACTGCGGGTCAAGGTGGAGTCTTCTGAGCCTGTCTGGGGATAGTCCATTTTGTTTCCGGTGATTTATTTACTGTTGTGGAAAGAGATTATTAAAAGCGATAATATGATTGTTTTGAAGTTTCTCAACGCAATTCACAGCTTTATGTCACAACGTGTTGAAGGTATTCTAGAGCTGTTGTGGGCGGTTGTGGGCACCCTTCTTGGAGGCATAGTCACCAGCCGACTCCGGCTTACCAGCATTGGATGTACAAAGCTCACGACCATAGTGGTATCAATTGGAACTGTCCTCTATTCTCTAACGTTGGTCTTAGGGTGTGACAGCCAGAACATCAAAGGGTTAGGTGACAGCGGGTGAGTGACAATTATTACGAGACAATCTTGTTTTGAAATTAATCCTTATTTAGGATGTTATTGTAGAAGATGACCACGATCAACAACTGGACAATCTTATGAGTAAGGTAAGCAACATCTCCTTATTCAAAGAGAAAACTTATTATCGCCTGGGGAAGACCCTATCAATGACTGACGTTGACATTGCCCATATATTTCAGCTACTCCATGGTCAACAATACGTCTTGCAACTGTGATGCAACTGAGTTCATGCCTCTGTGTGGAGTTGACAACGTGACGTATATCAATCCCTGTATGGCAGGATGCCAGTCTCAAAATGGCACAGTACGTAGCACACTCCTTGTATGTCAGGATGTCGGAAAGGCACTGTGGGTGTTTCACTTTTTGTTTGGAGGGATTTCAATCCCAGGAGGGATCTGTGAGCACCTCACTCCCCTTCAATATGAGATAGGATATCTAAAAGATCCTCTTGTAGTAATATAATACCATTTTTGCATTTTTTAATGTAGTCTTGTTGTACCATGTTTTCTGGATGTATGTCGTTTGCAAAATCTCTCTTGAGATTTAAAAGTGACTTTTTACATAATATTACAAGGCATCTGTACGTTGTGTCCACAGATTGTTCCTTATTAATACTCAAATTGCGCCTGATAATCTCCCAGTGTGACATATCTTATCAGCTTCTTTGTGAGTACACTTAAGGCACAGTCAGAGTCCTGTGGTGTTTCTTTCATCAATGTTTCAACATCGTGTTTGTATTGTATTGTATAATACGATGTTTCAGACATACACAGGATGCAGCGAGATTCCTGGTAACGAGGGCACAATGGGCAGGTGCCCGACAGATTGTCCCTACCTGTATCCCTACATCACTGTTGACCTGGTGTCCGGCCTGGCGGCGACATTTGGCTTAGTCCCTGTCATGATGACAATAATGAAGTAGGTGCTGAAAACATTTTCATAAATATGCAAATATGTAATATTTTGGAACGTAAGCAGCTTGCTGCGGTATTAACATAATATAGGTTTATGTGAAAATATATATATCAATAAAATAAGGTTTCTTTTATCAATGTCTTGGATTGGCCAATATGATAAGGGGACATTCAATCAACATCTAGACTATTTGATGCCATGGGTTGGGACTGAAGCAGAATACTACAGTACAAAATTGTAGAGAAATTCCAACTACTTAATGGAAAAACCATAAAAGCTATAAAAGTACAGGGCTCACATATAGAAATTGTAGGCTACAGGAAGTACTGTGGTTTATGAAAAGGAACAATATAGATGTATGAAAGATTTTCTACAAACAATCCGTCCCTTGTGCCATTCCTATATATCAATACATGATACCAAGCTTTCGCGAAGAGGCAAGTCGGTTACTCTCCTGACAAAATACACGGTCACAAATGGTACAAGCCAAACTAGAGAACTACATGGAGCGTCATTTTTGTCACTGAAGTGACACAGTTGGAAATGTCCTTTACATGTCTATTAACGTTTGAAAGTTTTACTAAACCCCTAAATACTGGAACCCTATTCAAACAACCTTTTTGCATGATGTTCTTTAACGTGCATCCACCACTGAAATTTTTGGGAGCTGAATATTGCTTGTTGTTAGGGAACGCTGACTGTTGAAACGTTGAAGTCATATCTCTTGTCGTTTTCATGAGTGGTGGTTTCTATTATGAATCTATAGGCAGTTCTGTATAGATATTAGTCTATCATCAAGTATATATAGAATGATATATTACGCATGAATATTGTCTTATAAATAATAACTTTTGATATGACACATCTCGATGTTTCCTAGATTGGAAAGGATAAAGAAACGGATACGCTTAAATACCGACTTGAGTTCCATCAGTATTTTGTGAAACTTCTCATTTTGATGCCTCATTGATCCCTTAAAATGTTTGAAATCTTAGCTGTGGTCATTTAGTCGAAGACAAACTCGCTCGGTTTTTTTGCGATTCGTAACATTAACATTATAATTCCAAGGACAAGCATTTAATGAAGGTCATATGACAGGTCACGGTGAAACATGTAATTTAAGTGAGAAATTAGTTTAGTTGTATAGAGCTGAACAAGTGCTGTATTTTTATGCCAAATACGGAGCACTATAATGATTTATGAACACATCCTGTTATGTCAAAGACAAATTATTGTTGTTTTGATTATTTTGACTTATAATTTGATTATTTGTCAACTCCCTGAAAGAACAGTGCACCCAAGGGACAAATCCATGGCTGTCGCTATGTCATCTTTCCTGAATAGTTTCATCGGTAAGTGTAGGATATAACGCCCGCCGGATTACCTTTTACCCATGTACTTATTTATGTATATTTCTAGCAATATAACTTAAATATAGATTCGTGTTTGTGTTTTAATATGGTCTCTCGCAATTCCGTGTGGAATGGCTTGTGTACACATATTTATGGTTTTATCAAAATGTTTTGTTCAAAACGCTGTACATACGGTGAGACCGAAATAAATCATTTGTTGGACGACTGTGCCTGTCTTTGATAGACGCCGCAGATCCAGACGGGAACATCCAAATCTTTGATATCGTGCCGATGCACGTCCGTATAAAAATGTTACACATTTCAAAAGAATTTAACACTGATAAAGTCATTGCATTTCAACTGTGTTTGCTTTACTTTTTTATATTTAACAGCAGTGCATACATACCTATATTTCAACACACAATCAGTGATTTTGCTTTGAATTTTGGAAAATGTTCTCTGAAATTGTTGACCAGTTCACTATTGTGATTTGTTTTAAAAATTAAAATTGTATGGTGTGTCTCGAAATTGTGTCTTTTTATGATATGTGGATATTGTGTTACCACCTAAACTTATTTGGACTAAAGCACAAACTACTCATGGTACACAGAGTAAAGAGGCAAATATGACATTGTACAGGTATTAAAGGTCACATAAACCCTAGGGGGTACAAATACATAAATCACTAACTGGCATCGTTATAAATGAAACCCCGTCATTAAAACTACTCATTTCGACCTTTAATTGACTTAAATCGACCTTTTTGACAACAGTGCACAATTCTCATCCGCGAACGAAATTTCAACCAATCAGAGCGGCGCGCGTCTGTGACGTCATATGAGGAATAGCTTTGAGGGCCGATGCAGAATTCATCTACATTTTAGGGGTTAAATTATCTTGTTTACAGGCTCGTATAAACCTGAAATCGTGACAATTGTTGTGGAAAATAAAAGCTATATGTTCTCACAATCTACTGTCATTTAATTTTGTCTCCTGCTTTGCCTAGTTTCCGAGTTACAACTTGTTTTCATAGACGATTCTGTCAAAATCGATTGGTGTCGTTAGGCCCTATTTGTATAATGACTGATCCAAATCGATCCCATTTCTGTGTTTTTTACCTCGATATTTAATCATGTCATGTAAAAATCTGTTTGTATTCTCAAAACAGTGTCGGCCCATAAGTTTTCACATGCAATACAGCAATTAATACTCCTTGTTGTAACCCGTGTTAGGTGGTATAAACCTACACATGTTATTTGTCATCATTCACTTGATGGTCAGTTAATGAATTTATAACAGGTATAATTAGTGGTAACACACTTAGATTACCCGACAAAGGTTCCCATTTGGCATTTCTTGTGTCTGGAGTAAATATTCAACATTATAAACATCGATCAAAGGATTAACCGATAACACGCTGATTGATTAATTACTTTTATCTTACACAGCGGAATTGTCAAAAGGTAGTGTTTATGTATGTAGATTTACTAATCTATACTGAATACACTCTGTCGTGTCGGTGTCTGCGTAAAAACAACGTCCTTCTTTCAAAGGATTAACCGGCAATACATTGATTGATTGCCCATTATTGGCTAACTAAATTACTGTTTTTAAAGAAAGGCGGACATTATGCAATTAGTTGCCAGGTGTGCTATCTTGGGTGACCAATGAGACTATACACCAATACCTGAAAAGATTTATCACTTTTCGTATATTAAACTGTTAAAAGACACATCATTTGGAACAGTTTTGTGGATATTGATGGATACATTCCTCGAACAAGGTAATGGCCTGATATTGTTCCTATAACTTTAATCTGTTTTAATTTTAATATTTGCATTTTGATTTTATTCATTTGTCGTAGCATTCAACAGAATCATTGTTTTCGCCGTGAAGTGTAATGAGTCAGACAACATGTACTAGGGTGTGTGTGCGAATTATGATTCACATTGGCAAACTATAAAATGTCTAGATATTACAGTTCTGTTATAAATTCACTATAAGGATCAGCAGATCGTCTGCTTTTATTTAGTTTCAAAATGCATACAAGTATGATAATAAACTAATTAGGATTATAAGACCAAATATAAAGACGCACATTGACTAGTATCTACATTCTGGTGAGTGGACATTAACCATGGGAATGTAGCAAGAAATTTATCGCGCAGTATTGTGACTTCGACCCCCACCTCGCTTCCGTGGAAGAAATCGCGATGTTATAAAGTTGTGTCATGCAAAATCCGTTTGGTTATGATTCCAATACATATTTAACTACGGTAGAAAGTAGTCTTGATTTTCTAACTTGATGAAAACAAACTATAATCTCATTCATTCTAACAGATTTTTTTATTTTTAAAAATGGCGGCGCCCTGTCGGGAACATCCGCCAGTCTGAGGATAAATGGTATTTAGGTTTGTTTTCACCGAGTTACAAAATCAAAACTACTTTCTACTGGTAATAAATATGTATTTTGTTGATAGCCAATAGGATTTTGCATGACATAGCGTATAACATAACAATTTCTCTCCTGGCAGCGAGGTGAATGTCAATATAATACTACTTACAATATTATTGTTACTTCGACCACAACCTCACTTCCGAGGAAGAAATCGTTATGTTACAAGTTGTGTCATAGAAAATCTTTATGGTCATCAATCATATGCATATTTTACAACAACTAGTAAGTAGTTTTGATTCTTTAACTTCAGTGAAGCGATCTGAACACAAGTAAGATATCGTTTCAGGCTTCCACAGCGCTCGCTTCGCACTCACAAACATAACCGATTTAGCACGAACTGCGGGGTCCTGTGGAAATCTGTGCATGGGGACACCATCACCAGACCCCTAGGAGCAATTGACGACAAAGCAACGATTCGGCATGTCATCGTTGATGTCGAGAAATCATCAAAATGATGAGCGTGCTACACATTTTCTATACAACTAACTGAAAATCGTTCCTCATATGACGTCACTGCAGTGCTCTGGCGACAGAGTTACGTAACCTGTCTGTGGTTTCGTTGGCGGGCGAGAGGGAAGCAGGCGACTTTTTGGCCACTTTTAATCGCTCGGTATTAATTAACCACAAGTTTTTAAAGAATAAATTTGGTGTTCCGCATAAGACTAACCACAAATCTTTCATATGTAATGGTTAAAAGAGTAACAAAAAACAAAGTTTAGTGGTTCTTTAAAAGAAAGTTGGAAATATACAATGCCAAGTTATATTTAAGGTAGTTGGTGCTATGATTGTCTCTATAGTGTGTTATGGTGCAGAAGTGTAGGGCACCCCATATTGTAAAATTATTTGAGATGTACAGCATAAAATGTGTAAAACAACAAACAATGCTATGGTTTGGGGAGACTGTGTCAGAGCCCCTCCCAGACTTGAGTACACCAAGGGTTAAATATTAAGTATTGGTGCAGGCTACTGTATTTGGATGAACACTGACTGCCTCGCCAATGCTATCTAATGGACGACACTGGCTGTACGATATGGGCTACTCATATAAAACATATTCTGTTTAGACTTGGATTTGAATATGTCTGGTTAAAACAAGATGTGAGAAATGTGAAGATATTTTTTCACCTTTTCAAACCATGATTATTTCACAACCTACTGCAATCATGGTGTAGTTCTGTGAACAGTTTATTGGATTCATTCTATTAATATTTCATAATGTGTCCGTTTTCCGATGACATAAAAAGCTGCAGCAGCCACTGCTGTATCTGGGGTTGGAGGGGTATATTCAGTTTCATATAATCATAGTTATGTGATTTTCCATATCCAGTAGATAACACGCCAGTGGTCCGATGTGTAATCAACTTCTAGGTAGCATCACGCAGATGTTGCCATACCATGACTATTGTTATACTTTAAGATCAATGCCTATATTGTGTCACCATTATCAACCCCATGCAAAATGTAAGAAAAGATATGGATGTTATATTGAAATGATGTATGAAAAATAATAAATATATTCTTCTTTATTTTTATATTTTTCACACTTACACTTTTGCATAAATAAATTTTCGAATCAATCAGTTATGTGTTTCAAATGTGTTAGATCTATTTATCATTAATTATATAATGTGGTAACAACCATTTTCTAGTTACTATTACTAGGCGTTCAGTTTATTTCCAGCATAGAACAGGAGAAAATGGGACCAAATCATCGAATTATACCTAATCAAAGTTCATTAATACTAACTATATTCAATCAATTTGGTCGTTAAGATCCATGTTTTGTGTGTACTATTTCGAGACAACAGCGAGGTGACACGAAATATTAACGCGCATGTCGGTGTTGGAAATGGCATATGTGTAATTGTTTACAAATGGCATATGTGTTATTGTCTCGAAACGGCTTAAATAACATTCAAGATTTTCGGTGTTTACCAACGAGAGGCCAGACGTTTGTTCAAAGCAGAGGGTAGTGCTAATGCGAGGGTCAGTGGTCAAATATGAAATGCAGTTAGACAAATTGAATACGATGGGTAGAAAGGTAAAAGCATGACCCACAAGCTCAACACAATATTTTGTGTAGAATCGGGCTGTCTAGTTTCAATCAGGTTTCTAGCATCGCGAGTGTCAACGCCTTGTGTATTTTATGTAACGGATGTAACGGGTGTAGAGGTAGAATGTTCTAAAATATTCATTTCTTCACCGATTTTGTTCAAACTTGAAATATATGTTAATCATAACATATGAAAGCAATATACGTTTGCGAAAGTATAGATTTTCATTTTTTTAAATTAGTGTCTGTTCTGAAGGGTCCGTGAAGAACTGATGTTCTCGGACACAGTACTTGATAGCACAAATACACGCGCGGCAAGGACATTAGCTGCACCAGATTCTGTGCGAAGGTCGACCGCGTATGATACAGATGTTAAAACTTTCAGTTTTAGGCGCTAGTGACGGTTGTTAATGGGTAGCTCTCTCCACGTGATAGATGTTGAACTAGCAAGAAAAGTATAGATCAAATAGAAACAGAAATACACATAGTCAAGAGAATTATCCATTAACATTTTGACAGTTGCTAGATGGACAGTTTCCTCATATTAAGTTTAAACTTCATGATTTATTAGTTTGTTTCACATTTCTCATTGCGTTAAAAAGGGGATTTCATGTTTAGTTGATTATAAGGGGATTTTACATTTAGTTGATTGAAAGGTAAGTCAAAATTTATGTAGTTTTAGTTTAATTTTCCACTGCGTAACAGTGTCCAAACAGTGATTTGAATCCATGTGATACAACATATGAAAAAAGGTACATATCCAGGTATTGATAACGTCCTTATAGAAATGATTAAAGCAACTGAATCTAAAATAATGCCCTTTTGAGTAGCAATGTTCAATAAAATATTTTAAACGGTTTTTTCCCACGATGTGGAGTAGAGCAATTATAGTTCCTTTACTCAGCTCACACGGGAAAAATATATACTTGTGTTTTAAATGAAAGACTAACAAAATGGGCAAATGTTATGGATAAAGCTTCTGAAACTCAAGCTGGTTTTCGGAAGGGCTATTCAGTTGTTTACCATATCTTCACATTGTATGCTATCATCGAGAAAAATCTGTGTAGAAGAAGGTTTTAGAAAAGCTTTTGGTTTTGTAAATACAGATAAACTCTGGAAATTGCTTTCATCATACGTCGTAAACCAAAGTTGCAAGCTCTTATGAGTATATATAAAACAGTGAAATCATGTGTCAGAGTTCAATCCGAGTTAACGCTACATTTGGTTTACGGCAGGGTTCTATGTTGAGTCCAATGTTATCCTCATTGTTTATAAATGAACTTCCTGTAGAAATCACAAATTATGGTAAACATGGAGAAAAATTTTTTCCAGATGTACTTGAAATTCTAATGTTGTTATTTGCGGATGATGTAATTCTTGTGTCAGATACTATTGGTGGTCTTTAGTGCCAGTTAGACACTTTAAAATCGTATGCAGATAACAGGTGATTAACTGTAAATTTAGATAAAACTAAGAATCTTGTTTTTAGGAGAGGTGGGGAATTAGCGGTTAAGGAAAACTCGCTTTATGATGAGAGAAACATTGAAGCGGTAAACTGCCACAAATATCTAGTTTTTGTTTTCGCTTGTAATTGTAGTCTTAGACAAGATGTCTCAGAGCTTGCAGCTCCTAGTAAGAAGGCTTAAATGGAATTAGGTATAAACTTAAAGGTCACATGCAACCCAAAAATCAAACATAATTAAAACACAGTTATCACTTATTCATCACATATAATAAACATTGCTGATTATGAAAAACCATACAAACAAAATTATAAGCGTACAATCGCAAATCAAAAGTGCAATATTTTGTATTTGGGTTTACTTCCCAAGAAACGAAGCAGCCGGGATACCGAACCCAGTCAGGGCGGGTGGGTGTGCACTCAAGTGTAACGGCTGGTTCAACATTTGCAGATGCCCCCACGGCTCATTATGTGTGTATATATAGAGATGTTGGGTTTTGTAAATACATGCTCATTTTGTGTGTATAACATTTTGCAATCAATAGACATCATAACATGTCGTGTAAAAGTATCACACCTGCCTGTTTGTGTAATTACATAATGTGACAGCGACCGAACTCGGGCCATAAATCAATGCGATTTGTTTATGGTGTATAGCCTGATAGGTGTTCAAATTGCATGTGGTCAGTGATCGAAGTTGTGTATTGAATATTGTCATTAGCAGACGGGCAGGCAGACACATAGGTGTCAGTAAAACAGACATTGTGTTTTGTCTGTGACAACGACGTATCTATATCACAGTTAGAAATTCTGTCAGGGCTAAATAATGACACTGCTTTTAAGTATCGAACTGAGAAAGTGACTCGGAAAGAAAAACGTGTGGTGAAATAGACAAATGAATTATATAAACAATTAAATCGGTAATCTACTGTCATAACATAAAAAGCTCGCGCCTGTGAAATATCAACAAAACATTAGAAAATAGCTCATACCAAAGCCTTCACCCAACAACCCGCTTCCAAGCTGTGCGAACCTATTTCACTGCACATGTGACTATGACCGCAGCCGAGCGCAGCGCAGCCCAACTGTTGAAACCACTTTTTTCCCCAAGCGCTGGGGGAAAATTAGTGAATCGTTTGAACTCCGATTTCGCGAGTTTCTTTTCATCGCGTTATTTTTCAACTTGATAAGTTGAATTTGCATTTTTGATGATTTGGTTCAGTAAGTCCATACCGAAAGGTATCAGAATTTGCAAAGTTGTGTTTTACGTTGCATGTGATCTTTAAGGAAATTATGACCAGTACCTATGAAAGTATTTTTATTAATATTTGACAGCCAAATTCAGCCAATATGTTTGTACGTGTCAGAAGCTTGGTGGGTTAAAATATCTGATAGCATTGAAACAATTCACTTACAAGGATGTAAAATGTTTTTAAATGTCGGTCCACAGACACCACATGCAATAGTATATGGAGAATGTTGACGGTTTCCAGTTTATATTAATTCCTACGTTCGAACGATGAAATATTGGCTTAAGTTAATGACAATGCATGATGAACGAATTCCTTATTATTATTATTATTATAGGATATTTATATAGCGCACATATCCACGCACTGGTGCATGCTCAAGGCGCTGGTATTTTTTCCCTCGATCATTGGATGTCAATCTGAACAGCACATCGCATTATCAATCTCAACTCCCTGGGGAGTATACAACGCTTGCAGCCACTAGGCGCACCGAGTTATTGTGGCTTTCTCATCCTAACGAGGTACCCATTCACAGCTGGGTGGACTGGGACACATAGTCACAGTACTTTGTCCATGTTCACTGCACGTTGCTATACCCGCAACTAGGTGTTTGCACGTATTCATGTGGCCACCATCTGGTCAAATACCAACGGATTCGTGGGTTATTTTAAGTGCACAGGGTTGTGTACTGTACACTAGGGGTTGTGACAACACTGAAAGAGTCTGCACACAAAGTTGACTCCAAGGTTTTTACACCCGGTCACAGGTGGGCTCGATCCCGACACCTCAACCTCGCTGGATCACTAGCCTGGCGCCTTAGCCAGCTCGCCACACAGCCAAATCCGTAACATGATATGCATGCGTTCCGCATTGCTATTTAACAAATTCCAGCTGAATCGGTGCGAAAATGAGCCACTAATGAGACAAGATGGCAATTTTATAATGAAGGTAAAATGCGATGCACAGCAAAACCCGCACCATATTTGTTGATTCTTACTATTCAGTACCTACATAGTAAATTTCAGCTGAATTGCTGCAGAAATGAGTCACAAATCAGTCAAAATGGCATTTTCAATATGGCCATGTACATATTGCAAGAAGATATATGAAAATGTTCAGCTTCATCACTCACGTAGGTAGTAGTTTCAGAGAACATGTTTTAAAGATATAACTGAAATTAAAGGCCGTGTCGAATAACAGGTCAGACAGAGGTAAAATGGCGAAGTAAAGCAAATGTGTTGAGTTTGCTATCTGGCACAGATATATCAACTTTCAGCTGATTCACTGCAGAAATTGGGGACTAAAGAGCGAAAATGGCATTTTCAGTATATGGCGGCTGTAGTCGCCATATCTGAAATTTGATCGGAATGCCTCTAACAACCTTTGGTGTCCTCTTGGTTTGGATCATGTATGTCAAGTTTCAGCCTCATCGGCTAAGTAGTTTCGGAAATGATGTTTACAGATGTTGCACGATGACGGACATACAGCCAACGACATAAGCTCATCTGAAGTTTGTCCAGGTGAGCTAAGTTGTGTCTATGTTCACCATCCAACCAGTGTGCGAAATAGTTTCCAAATTGTACTTACCAGTCGGGCAAGCTATGCCTGAAAGTTTCTAGCCCACAAAATATATCACTAGCCCAAAATTTGAATGTAGACACGGGTTTCATCATTAAGCTGCCAAATATGATGAACATTTTTATCAGGCCATAATCTTGCATGATTTAAAAGTATATTATAAGTTAACATGTCGGAGAGAATTATATGTTTTCAAAATCACCCCCTGAAAGTTCACTTGCCAGTCGGCCCAGTGACTGGAGATTTACTGGCCCGACTGGAATTTTACTAGCCACGGACTAGCGGACCAGTGGCTATTTCGCACATTGCATCAAACCAAAGATGTCCGGTACGTTGTATACGCGTATATATCTTAACATATGTATCTAACTTGACAGTGTAGAAACAGCGAGGGTCATTATTCAACGAGGGTATCTTTTCAATACGCGATCCGGGTTTATTTTCCATAGCCGGGTAAATATTCAATGTTGAAAAAAGACCCGCCGGGTACCTTTTCAACGCGGGTATGTTTTCAATCTTACACCGGCTCATATCTGTTTTATCAACAATGTACATGAGACAGGCTTCAGAGATGCCATGTCTAGAAGCTACTTATCAGTTTCAGTATTAAATATAAGAATGACAGCTCCAAGTTATTACAAGTTTGAAGGTGAAGGAGCTGGGGGCGTTTTTGTATCTTTCTACTGGATGACATCGACAAGTTAAATAACGTGTCATCTTATGACGACAAGATACATTCGATTTATAACATTATATTATTTACATTGAATAGATACTATAAACCAAATTATGGCATCTTTAGTTTCAAATCTACATTGACAAATTGATGCTTGATACAGGAGGTTGGTTGTTTGGTTGGTTGTTTAATGCCACACTCAGCAATATTCCAGCCATATGGAGGCGGTCTATAAATAATCGAGTCTGGACCAGGCAATCCTGAGGTCAACATCATGGCCATCGATCTTCGCAATTGGGATACGATGACATGTCAGGAAGTGAATTCGCCTCTTACGACAAGCACGGGTTACTGGAGACAAATTCTTACCCGGATCTTCACGGGTCTGTGTGTAATGTTGTGTGTATATCCTGATGTTACTTATGATAATATATACTTTCCTCTAGGTTTCCTTCCATCATCTATAGTGTATGGAAAGGTCATTGACACAACGTGCTCTCTCTGGGAAACAACGTGTGGTGAGGTCGGAGCATGCGCACTGTATGATCTCCCTAGCCTACGGTATCGTATGAAAGGGATGGACACGGGACTTCAGTTGCTATCGTCAGCTGGCTTCTTTGCAGCTTTCCTTTTGCTCAAGTATGGTGTCGTTAAGGAGTATCCTGATTCAGAAGTACCACCAACACAGCCTGAAGCTGCTGAAGATATCGAGAAACATGATGTTCAGTCTACACAGTTTTAAATGTTCATTTCAGACAGAATCAAACTAGGCTTGCTTTTACGATGATGTACATTAACCTAAAACAAATACAATATACCCTGGTTATAAAGCCAGCGTTTGTCCAGGAGAAAATATGGCACTATATCCAGGGTGGCATTATAACCAGGTAGGACAGTTAGAGGACCTGTGCAATCAAGAACATGATTGAGATACCAAATTACGCTCCTGTATACTGTTATATAAGGATCAAAATAAAATAATAAAATATAAGAGGTGTCAAAGTAGACGTGGTGCTTCAGATAACCGTCAGTTAAAGTGTGAGTGAGCTATTCGTGTGATTCAGCGTGAGTCGGACCTGGACAAGTTCAGGCGACACTAGCGACTATCTTCTGTTCTCACATTCATGTTTAGATTGTATGTGTGTAGAAATTCAGACGTATGTAAGTACGTAAAATATTTCTATTTATGAATTGTATCTAGTATATCAACACACAATAGTTTATCTCGATACTTGTTTATGTTTGCATTATTGCTTGTATATACTATTCTTTATCTCACCTTTGGTTTTTATATTCCACAAACTATATCTCCGTGTATATCTGTATCCATCACTGAATCACTGTATATATTCTTTGTTCATCTATCTTCTTTAGAACCTTTGAGAGATCCTGCATTGCCATGCCATCATGTACAACTATATTCATTGACACGCCTGCAAATAACCCGATCTAGTATCCGCACATGTACCATCTATCAACACGAAGTAAACAAGCCATATGGGTAATGACGTAACGCAATACCGTGCGGCGATCGGGTTGTTCAGACATCTCAAATGCTCTAGAAATCTCAAGAAATGTTTCAAAATCAGTATCCTACTTGTTAACAAAAATGTACTTTTCAGTTTACTACGTGTTGAAGTAGAGGCTATGTGCAATTTACTATTGTTAGAATTGAAAGCTTGCTGTGCGCTTACGTTTCTGTGTCTGCTTCAATCACAAGTTACAAATCTCAACATAACCTTGATTATTCTATTGTTACTTCAGCTTGCTGGTGACGTAGAGCCTAACCCAGGTCCTATTGTTCAGAAAGACAACATGTTGTCGATTTTTCACTTGAATGCACGAAGTATACGTAATAAGCAATCTTATCTGTCAGAATATTTATCTGAATATGACATAGTATGTTTCTCTGAGACCCATCTAGATATAAGTGTTGATAATGAAACCTTAGCTTGGGAAAATTTTCACGACCCGATACGAAGAGACAGAAATTCTTTCGGGGGTGGTGTTATGATGTATATCTCTAAGAATCTAAGCTTTGATAGAATTTACAATCTAGAAAACATATTTGACGAGTCCATTTGGGTTAAATTATCGCTTCCACAAAAACCACTCATCTTATGTACCGTTTATAGACCAGAAAGTAATACATCTAATTTTGGGGGAAGATTCGATAATAGTATCGAAGGTGCTTTAGATATTTCAAGTAAAGTTACTATTGTTGGTGATTTGAATGAAAATCTACTTTCTGTATCTAAACTTAATTTATCAGATATCCTAAACAGAAAAAACTTATGTAACGTTATAACAGAACCTACTAGGGTGACGAGGAAAACCAGCACACTACTAGATCCAATTATAGTCAGTGATGATGTTGAGGTTGTAGAAAGTGGTGTTATCGATTTTGACAGAACTATAAGTGATCACAAAGGCACGTTTGTCAGCCTAGATGTGCATGTGTCAACTAAGATTGCATATCCTAGAAAGGTCTGGTGTTACAAAGATGGTGACTATGAGAAGCTGAACGCACTTATTAGCAATACTGATTGGTTGTCATTGTTTAGTGACTGTTCTAATATTGATGATACTTGCTGTGCATTTTATGAACGTTTTAATGATTATACCAAACAATGTATTCCTTCTAGAATTGTGATGATAAGACCGAATGACAAACCATGGTATGATTCAAATATTAGACGTGAAAGTAGGAAGCGGGATCGACTACGGAAAAGAGCCATCAGAACACAGAAAGAGTCTGATATTTTGAAGTACAAAAAAAACAACGAAATAAAGTTAATAACATGAAATGTTATGCAAAAGAACATTTTTATTCTAATCTTGATGAGTTTTTTATTCGAACTTTATGGAGAAAATAAATCATCATATTGGAAAATATTACGCAGTTTGATCAAGACGTCAGGTTCCGCTTCTACTATTCCCGCTCTAAAAAGAAGTGTTATTGAGGAAAGTCCATCAGCTTATTCAGATGTAGATAAAACCAACATGTTAAATCAATATTTCGAATCTGTAGCTAATCTGACTGGTGCAGATAACAAATCTATACCACATTTTGACAGGCGCACGGATGCCGTTATAGATAACATGATAATAGAAGTTAATGAGATCTCCGACATAATTAAATGTCTACCTCTCAAGAAAGCTGCTGGACCAGACCAGATTAGTCATCAGTTACTTAGTAAAACGGTCGAGTCTATAAGCCCAGTACTGTGCATATTATTTAACATGTCACTTAATTTATCAGTATATCCTAGCCAATGGAAATATGCAAATGTTATGCCCCTATTCAAGAAGGGTGATCACTCAATTGTATCAAATTATCGCCCTATTTCACTTATAAGTTGTGTTGGGAAGCTGTTTGAAAGAGTTGTATTTAAACATATTTACAATTACTTCATTTCAAATGATTTGTTATATAAATATCAATGTGGATTCCGGAGAGGCCACTCTACTGTACAACAACTTGTTGAAATTTATAACCAAATCTGTATGTCACTAGATAACAAAGAACACTATTGTATGGTCTTTTGCGATGTATCTAAGGCCTTTGATAGAGTTTGGCACAGAGGGCTTATACTTAAATTGGAAAGGTACGGAGTAAGTGGAAAGTTACTTGATTGGTTTGATAGTTATGTAAGTGGTCGCAATCAATCAGTTTCTGTTCACGGCTCGTTATCTAAGCCTTTGGTTTTAAAAGCAGAAGTTCCACAGGGATCAGTTTTAGGTCCCTTTCTTTTCATTGTGAATGTAAATGAGATAGCAGATAAACTACATTGTATAACTCGGCTTTTCGCTGACGACACGTCACTGTGAGCCTTGTCAAAAGAAAAGCAGTTGATGGAAAGAATAATGAAAGAAAATCTACAAATATTATGTAATTGGGCAAAGGACTGGCCAATTTCTTATAATCCGAACAAAACGCAAGCTATACTATTTACGACGAAAGATGGCCAAACAGACATTAATTTGAAATTTGACAATTGTCATGTAAAACCAGTTGACTTTCATAAACATTTGGGACTAACATTTTCATGTAATGGGGGTTGGCACCATCATATTGCAAGTATTGTTAAAAAGACTTCTAAAATGATTGGAGCATTTCGAAAGTTAAAGTTTCTCCTGAATAGAACAACATTGTCAAGCATATATACTGTATTCATAAGACCACATGTCGTGTACGCATCTGAAGTATGGGACGGGTGTTCTATTGAAGAATCTAATAGATTAGAAAAGTTACAACTTGAAGCGGCTCGTATAGTTACTGGTCTGCAGAGATATGCTTCTTCTAGATCATTATACTTTGAAACGGGATGGGATTTACTATCTGAGAGAAGAAGGGTGAAAAATTATCGTTATTTATTAAGATACATACAGGCCTTGCTCCAAGTTTTCTTTATGATTTACTCCCTCCTGTAGTAGGTAGTCGAACAAATTATGAATTAAGAAACTCCAGTAATTACATTCAACCCTGTACAAGACTACGATACTCGACTCTATCCTTTTTTCCATCAACAATTAAACTGTGGAATAACATCCCCTTAGCTATCAGAAACTGTAAATCTGTTGTGTCTTTTAAAACTGCAGTTCATGTGAAACAAAAATGTGCACCCGTACATTTCTCATATGGGAAAAGGAAACTAAATGTTTTGCAAACAAGATTAAGATATATGACAAGTACACTTAATTATGATTTATTCAGAATTAATGTTAGAAATGATGCACTTTGTCAGTGTGGCCATAATTGTTAAAATGCTTTTCATTATTTTCTGGAATGTCCATTATATATAATTCAAAGAGAACAAATGTTAACCTCTTTAGAAAATATAGTGAATAATAGATCATGTATTGATATTAATCTCATCTTAAATGGCAATGCAGGTCTCTCGCTTAGCGAAAATCAGAATGTTTTTAAAAGTGTACATATCTACATCCATAACACTAAACGATTTAAATAACTCTGTCTGTACATATCTATACCCTTTGTCTGCCTCTTGTTGAACTTTTTTGTAATATACACTTGTAACTATGTGGAGAGGGCTTATTTAAGTTGGATAACTTGTGCCCAATCCGTTTCTTCATTGAATAAAATATGTTTCAATCATTCAATCAAAGTGTGAGTCAACCAGGAAACTTTTGACTGGATTCTATGTTTAGAAAGTCCAATGTGATGAAGGTCTCAAAAGTTGGCCCAAGAAGGTGAATCATGCTTATGGTGTGTTTAAATGCCTTGGGTGTGTGATGGAATGTCACATTATATCAAATGCGACAATGAGACATTTCATAAAAGAATCATATTGTCGCTTTCATTAATTACTACATATTTTCATACAAGTTTCAAGAATAGAAAAGAAATCCGTGAACCAGTCCGTAAAAGAACGAGGTGTGAAACTAACAAACAACAAGAAACATTATGTAATTCACACATGCTTTCTAAAATTAACTAAGTTTACAAAATGATGCAAATCACTACTGTACAATATTCACAGGTAATATATATACTCGGCGTCATTAATGAAGGGTCAAGCTATTGGTAACACCATTTCTTAAAAGTTGTAAAATCTTCGTTTTTGTTTGAAATATATACTACTGAATGTCTTTACAAAATTTCTTAACAGTATGGAAAACACTGGCCGTTGAAATTTCCTTATTAGGTTCTTTCACTTACATTCTGTTACAAATGGCGTTTTTTAATTCAAATTGACAATATAAAAATCCACCTTCCAC